GCTAGAGATTGCCGTTAGCATTTTGGATAAAATTTTAACGATGCATATGACTTTGAAAGCGCCAACGCTAAACGCGGTCCGTAGGTAGATTTTCAAAGCGTTAACGGCTATCGGATGCATTAAAAGGGTCATAATCCAACTCACATTAGTTAATTACTCCGTAATTAATATCGTGATGATGTAATCTGAAGCGCCGTCTAAACACGGGAACTAAATGGTCAGGCGACATCATTACTACGTCTACTATAGCATTGCATTGTGCGATTAAACAATGAGTAAATAATTTACTCCGTAACAGTTTAACTAAGGGCAAAAGTGTAAATTTTCCTAATGATCTTATCCTTTCCAACTACTTCGCCTATTTCAAAGGATTCTCGTACATAATTGGATAATTTTTCTTTCTTCTTTTTTTCTTACTTTTGCATTTTTACTCATTTGGTGTATCCGTTTTACTTAATTGCAGTGACTTCTGAGTAAAAAATAATTATTGAAAAAAACGAAATATACAGAATATTGTATTTCCTCCGTGGCTCCGTTCCAAAAAAATTAACATTTGCTTTTAATGCTGCTCAAAAAATATTTTTCACTTTCAATGGAGTAAAATCATTATTTTACTCTTACAAATTATTAATCTACATACCACATTATATATATTTACTATTAATCTAAATATTACTCCGTACTATGTAGATCTTATCCTAACCTTAAAATTGTTGGCAAACCAGACACTAAAACACTTCAACACTTCCTCCCTCACACAAAAAACGTTGCTAGGAGTTTTTTTCCGTCTCTCCCATAAAAAAAGGGTTTATTTCTTTGTTTTGAAAAACTTTTTTGTGACAGAAGTTGTTTTTGATCTTTTACACCTTCAATTATTTAAACTTTTGTTTTTTAGAAAAAAATCATTTAATTTTTGTTATTATTCGTACCAAATCAGCCATAGAGTCTGTTTAGAAATAGTGCTAGAAATTAGCATTAGCATTTTTTGATAAAATTTTAACGATGCAGATTACTTTAAAACGCTAAACGTTGCCCATAAATAGTGCTTTTAAAACACTAACGCTAATTTTTAATGTTATTCAGCATAGAATATATTTTAAGATTTGAAGAATTGAGTTAAAATTTAATGTGGTTAATTACCTTGTCATATGGGAGGAGCATGGACATAGAAGCGGCCATGAGGCAATAAAGTACGGTCACGAGGATAACGGATCCGGATACTCCGATGGGTATGTCCTTCACCGGATTCCTCACCTCCTCCGCCATCGTCGACACGGCATCGTAACCAATGTAACTCAGGTACACCATGGCGGCGCCGCTGACCACCCCCGACGCTCCGAACGGCGAAAACCCGCCCGGCAGCTTCGGATCCGCGGGTCGGGTCATGTTCTTCGGGTCTCCCTTTGTGAACCCGATCACTATCACGAACACTATGAACGTGATGTGCAGCGCCGTTAACGCCATGTTCAACATCGAACTTCCTCTCGTGCTGCGCCCCCAAAGAAGAAAAAAGAGAATTTCATTTTTGTTAAAGTATGTTTTGGTACAAAAAAAATGAAAAATTTGAAAAGAAAAATGAAAATGAAAATTAGAAAAAAAAAGATGAAAACACTAAGACCCCGTTTGAGGTCGGCATTAGAAATTAGCGTTAGCGTTTTGAAAAAGCTATCCGACGATAGCCTTTAACGCTAGCGTTTTTAGAATCAATGTGCACCATTAAAATTTTCTAAAAAACGCTAACGCTATTCGAAAACGCTGTTATCGAATAAAGTCTAAATCTATCAATCATATTTTAATTTTTTACTAATAATCTATCTATCTCTTCTTATTTTTATCAATCATATTAAAAATATTTTTGAAAAGTTAACATTTAAATATCTCTCTTTTAGTTTCCCAAAAAATCAAGAAGGGAACAAGTTTAAAGGTAAGACAAAGTATTTTTTATTCAAAATATTTTTTCTATTTAATTTATGATAAAAAAACGTGACGACAAAAAAAAATCAAAATAGAACAATAAATCTTTTGTAACGGAAGTGGTGCTTATTTTATTACTAGAGGATATGATCGATAACACAAAATTGGTGTGAAAAGAAATTTATGAATTTATTTTTGAATTTTTAATGTGGACCACAACGGGAGAATAGCAAAAACCGGTGAAACAGAATGGAATGTGATTGTGATGAAATAAACCTGTAGCAGATGACGACGGTGAGGGTTAAAACCACCGCTACCGCCACGAAATCAATCTCGTTGAACCCGTTCGGGAGCGCCGAGACTGTGAATCTCAGCCGCGCGTCGGACGACAGGCCGATGGCGGTGCACAAATACGCGGTGACACTCCTCGCCACGGCGGCGTTAGAGAGAACGTAATCGATGATTAGGTTTGCTCCGGTGATGAACGCGAGAAATTCTCCTGCAAAAATCGGTCCGATCGAGTCGGTGTTAATTTATCCTGAGATCGTTATCGGTGAAATTAAAGGAATTGAGTAGGGAGTTTGAGGCGAGGACCGAATGTGGTGCGGATGTAGCTGAATGCGCCGCCGGCGACCGGCATCTCGACGGCAAATTCGGTGTAGCAGAAGGCGGAGAGGAGCGCGCAGAGTCCGGCAATGGCGTAGGACAGGACGACGGCAGGGCCGGCGTAGACGTGACTGGCGCGGCCGGTGGTGACGAAGACGCCGGCGCCGACCATGCCGCCGATTCCGAGCCCGACGAGGTCGTACCACCAGAGAGTCCTCTTCATGTCGCCGCCGGATCGAGCGCGGACGTCGCGGCCGGATTCCTCGGAGTAAGTGGAGACCGAGAGGGCTCTACGAGCCAGGCGGTGCGGCGTGTCAGAGAGCGCCGCCATGTAAGACCTGAAGCTGGAGAAAGAGGAGCGACGGTTATTCTCCATTGCCGATAACCTCTCTCTCTCACTGAAAATGAGGGATTATTGTTATGGCGGAAGGAGAAGAGGGAGAGGGGTATTTAAGGAATTCACAGTTGAGACGAAGTGGGAAGATGGTGAACGCCCATATTGCCTCTGTTTGTCTATACTTAAATTTTATTACTAATGTCAAATCACAATTTTGTATTCTCGGGTATTATGGATGTATTAGGTTGGCCCAAATGTAGTTTGTAAAACAAGGACGATGTCCACTAGAATGAGTTCATACTCCCTCCGTCCCGGAGTATTTGTCCAGTTTTGACTTTTGGAACTGTTCATCTAAGCACTTTGACTCATCAAATTCTCTCAGTATGTAAGCCTAAATGTAGTCATGTGTGATCTTGTTTGATTTGTCTTAACATATAGATTATTAATATATAATTTCTATAATTTTTTAATATACAAATTACAAGATAAAATGGATTAAAGAAGTGCATTGGATGATGTGTAAAAATGAAAGTGGACAAATACTCTGGGACGGAAGTAGTATGTAATAATGCAGGCCCAATTCACTCTTTAGCCACGAAGAAATAGCATGGGCTAGGACCCTAGCCATGAGGTAATAGGGAATCTTGGAGGAGCTGCACAGCTGTCAAAAGTATGGAGTGTCAAGCAATAGACTCGTGCCTAGTTCTTCACACCATGACTTTGATTAGTGGCAGGCTATATGTAACCGACCGGGGCACTCTGTGGAATGCCCTGTCGCTGAACGTGAGTGGGAACGGCCACCTATGGATGTCATCAAAGTAAATGTGGATGCTTCACAATGTCTCGTTAATGGTTTTGTGGGCTTGGATTTTTAGCTCTTGATCATGAAGGAAAGTTCATTGTAGCAAAGAATATTCAATTTAGAGGTAGCTTCGGTGATAGAGAGGCCGAAGCCATAGTGATGAAGGAGGCTCTAAGCTGGATCAAGGCTAAAAGGGTGTTTGGGATTGCATTTGAAAATAACTTATAGCTTCTACTTTACTAAAACACAATTTTAAATGTTTGCTAATCTGCTTTAGCTTATAAATTATGACTTTAGAAGTTAAATTTAAGGTCTAGAAGTGCTTCTAGTAAAGCTAAAAATACATGCTTTCTGCTTCTAAATTATAACTTCTACTTTTGCATAACTCACCACACTCCCAAAAAAACCCTCTAAAGGTTGGATGAAAGTCATTTTGGAGAGGGATTGCAAAGATGTTATTATTGCAATGACAAGTATTTCTGGAAACTCGTCTTATTTTAATTCTATTTCTGATGATTATAAATGTCTCTATGCACTTTGTGGCAGAGACATTAGTTTTAGATTTGTTTTTGCTCCGCTAATGAGGTTGCGCATTTGTTGGCGTGGGCTACTCATTCCATTGAGAGCGAGGGGAGTGGGTTGTTTCACCCCTAGACTTTATTATCACGTATCTTTAATGTCATGTTTCTTTCAAAAAAATGAATGATGGATGGTAACCCCACGCCGTCGAACAGACCCGCAGCAAACTTCATAAAAGGTCTCATAAACCTCGTAATGTATTGATGCCTTGTTGCACTTGGTATACCAAGCTGAGCCCGGTGGCTTGGTACTGTTAGGGTTGAGTGAAGCATAAAACTCACCACCCTAGGGCTAAGCACGGGTAAGGTTCACATTATAAACTAAGGAGACAACGACAAGAGAGCATATGTAAATAGAGCTGTACTTGACAAAGATATCATGTAGCCCATGCGGATTGCTATCACAACATCATGGCCATGTCGGTGCATGGATTCACTGAATGATAATATGCTCTTTTCGAATAAGATTCCATATACCAACGCAAACTAGATTATAAAGGAGTGTCAGTCACGGTCTACTACCATTGCAACCAATGATTAGAAAGTAGTATAAATACCCCTACCTCTGCACTTGTAAAGGGATCTGATATTTAGCGAATGATACTCTTGTATTGCATTCGCTCGCCATGTACTTACACTCTTTACTTATGTTCATTACTTACTTAGTCATACCCTGTCGCTCAGTCGGCTTTCTCGATAGTTTCTTACCATTAATGGAATGCATGGTAGAGTATATACATAAGAGTGTGCAATAACCTCAACTAAGACTATGAATCAATAATAAAAATTGACTAAATTAAAATACAAAGATCCCCATAATAGAGATAATTATAACTATTGTCTAACATTTGCTCTAACGCTAAACTTGTGTCACGAGTGGAAGCTTGAAAACAATAACATGGAATCACGGAGAAGATAGTGCTTTTGTGAGTAAGTATGCTAGAAGTATAGAGTGACTGAGTGAGATCTTCGCTGCGTGGTGAATAAACTTGAAAGTTCATATGTTGAGTACTCCGTATTTTTCTGGTGAAGAATGTTGGCAATTGGTGCGAGGGCGAGGAATTTCATTTTTTTTCTCCTGGGATATTCTTTGCTTCTTTGTCGCTTTTCATGCCCTCAAAATTTAGAAAAAACACAGACAAATGTAACTTTTTAGTTTTCCAATAACACCTTCAAATTTGTTGAATGCAAGAATTATGAGGTTTAGGATTGGACAAGTTTAAGGTAAGGTTGGACGTTGATGAAGGAGGTAAAGTTGATGTTTTTTATTTTGGTAGAGTGTATTACATGAAAATTTTCTGATAGTGGTGAGAAATATTGATCGGAGGAAGAACAATGGCGTGATGGGAAGATTAAGAAATTTAGGTCACTAAGACTGGTGACTCTAATACCATATTGAATAATGGAATGAATGTATTACTCAATAGATAATTAAATACACAAAGTATATAATGATGTCATGAATATAATTTAATGAAGTATTTAATCGGGAAAGGATGAAGTATTTAAATACTCTTTCTATATCGAATTAATTCATCAATTTGTCTTTCATATTGTCTAAGAAAAATATTGAAAAGTAAACTTGAGTAATTAAAATTTTTGATAACGCACCAATACTTGTATCGGTGTAAACTGTCAAAATGTTTGTGCATAAGTGTGGTGTACAAATAGTGTACATTTTTTTGGTGTAAATGTAGCATGGTCCATCATATTATTATAATTCACCATGAAACTTCTCCTGCTGAACACGTAGAGGTTCAGGTGGGCTGTGCAGTCAGCCGCATCGAGCAGGCAGAGAGGTCAGCCGCCGCCGCCGTTGAAGCCAGTTCGCGAGAAGCTGCCGCGCAACCCAGGTCCGACCTCCGCGCCGCTCCGCCTCCGTTCAGATCCAGACTGCCGCCGTCCAGTTTCAGCCACCGTGCGTTCCCGTGCCGCTGCCAGTCGCCTCTTTCTGCTAAGAGCTTCCAATTTCCGAAGGAGAACAAAATAAAAGGAAGAGAAAAAGGTTAGGGCAGACTGCTAAGGGTCTCATTACAAAATTATCTAGATCTAAAATCAGTTAACCCCACTGATGACCTTTCTAAAATTTCGAATTTTAAATGAGTAGTTTTTTTTTTTTAATTTTTGGTTCAGATTCTCAAAATGGCAAGGCCAATTGCTGTGTAGAGATTTGTTGTAAAGAAGAAGAGTGCCATGGAACTGCATCAAAACAAAAAAGCTTCAATCGTGTTAGATGCAGTGTGCACAGGTAATATTCCAGTTTCTTGATTTTCCTTCTTTGATACGGCTCGTTGGGAAATTAACTTTAGAAATTTATTTTATTTTTGATTTCTAATTTTGTTTAGATTTTGGTGTGCAGTTGATACGTAATTCGTATTAATGTGTTGTTGTTTCTAGATAATAGACTAGAAAACATTCTGATGCTATGTCCGTATTCATATGCGTATTGTGTTAGGCATCCCAATTGCGAAAGAAATTGGGGTTCGTTATGGGTCTTGGTGAATTTTTCGGTGTGTTTACAGTTTATAGGGTGTCGTGATGGAAAAATGATAACAGTTAAGGTGAGGCCATGGCATTCAAAGTGTCAAAGGGATTAGTAAAAATAACACCGTATCAATTTGATGTGATGATACTGAAGAATTAGTCTCTCAAATGCCACGAGGGTGGCCGCATTAATGAGTAGTGCACTCATTGTAAATCATGCTCATAGTGCTCCTTGCATTTGCAGCTTTGAGGGTGTTTGGCAGTGCGTTACTTTTAAGAGTTTAGTTTCTGCTTTGAGTGGTAGTGGTTTTACTCTATTTGGCATGTCGGCTTCTCCTTTTCTCTACTACTATTTTGTACACATAACACCATTTCGGAGAAGTAGTTATGAAGTGCTTTTGCTTTCAGCTTGTGTGGAAATCATATTATCCACAAATTGATCACTCCCAAACTCCCTCTTTGTATCCTTTGTTGGATTCATCTTCACCCACTGCTCTCTTGCATTGCGGCTTTGTAACAATTGTTTTTGTATGTGTTAGTTGTGCCTCAAAGTTTCTTGATTATTTCCCTTCTCGTACAGTATGCCTTTTCATTTTTGAACAAATCTAGGGGTTTTCAGTTAAGTTAAAGTATGCCTTGCTTCTTTGTATTTCTCATACCACTCTGTGTCTTAGTCGCCGCTATGTTCTTGGGTGTCTTTGTTACGTTATTCTTGACCACATTGGCACTGCATCTATTCTTTTGTGCATATTCATATGTTTTTTTTCTTGGCAGGGGATATGTAAGTGGAACAACTATTGTTACATTCAAGTACAAAAACCGGTTCTTTAATTAGCGTAGCCTGTGCTTCACTGTCGTTGACCCCTTAACGGAATCAAGAACTCAAGTTGGTGATTTCAATTCTTTTAGATTTGATTTTTCTTATTTTTCATACCAATTAAATAAATAGCTTGGCTCGTTAAATTTTTTATTAGCAAAGTGTGATAATAATGACTTAAAAGTTTTAGAACCATCAAATATAGTTTTGTTTGTCCTAAAAAAAATTGAACTCATCGACTTGAGTTCTTGAACTTGTTAAGCATTTATCGGCACTGAAGCACAAACAACGTTTATTAGTGAACCGATTCGTCTATTTGAGTGCAACAATAGTTGTTCCATTTACATACCCACTGCCAAGAAAACCTAAGGAAAAAACATAAACATGCACAAATGAATAGATGTAGTGCATGTATGGTCAACTTTATTTACCAAAAAGACTATAAAGGAAAATTTGTAGTAACCTAATTGGGCTCCTTTGAGGTGTGGGTTCCATATGTGGAGAGAAGGTTATTTGATTAAGACTTAATTTAGAATTTAGGAATCAAATTCAAGATAATTAGTTGCATACGTAACTAGAAAAATGTGCTCCAGATAAGACTAAAAGATAGTATGTTTTTCTAAATAGGATCAAATATGTTTTTTTCCCTTTATGTCACATAATTCCATATGACATGTCCTACATGCCCTTATTAGCAAGAAGTGCTAGATAATGACTGATTATACGAATGACTCGACAAATGTGATCATTAGCAACAAGTGTTGGATAATTCAATGACTATTCAAATTATTTTTAATAATGTCTTATTCTACTTGAAATGTGTAATAAGTCATTTTTCTCAAAGCCAATGCATTTTAAGACTTTTTCATTGTCAAACGTTGGAGTAGATAGGATTGGTCATACTTAGAGAAAAATGATATGTTTAAGTCTTATTTGCGTAAATTACCCACGTAATTATGCCTAAAAAATTAGTAATATTTATTGAATCAAACTTACAAATTCTAAATAATATTTGACTAAACAAATACACAAAGAATCTCACTTTGAGATTAGAATTAGTCCATCTTAAACAAAACACAACCTCAAGTAAGTAGGCATTCTTTAAGGTGATCCAGACACATAAAATGTAACTAAAAAAATCAAAAAGCTAAAAGCCTAGATTAACATATTTTAAATTTAAAAGGGAAAACTAAAAAAAAATCAAAGAAGAAGGTAGAGGTGTGCCGGGTTAATACTCTTTGAGCCTTCTGTCATAGTCTATGCTGCCACATTTTGGGCCACTGCACTCAATTCTTTGAGATGTTGAGACAGGCTGCGGTTGGAAGTGTCGGTTGAGGAACCTGAACTGCAACATTACCAAGCTCGGTTGGAAGTCCGAGCCCCAGTCGGTCAAACAACAAGACAAAAAGGGCCCATCATTTGATTTGGTAAGTTGAACAAGATATGAGTTTTGAAGTAAACAAATAAAACAGTAAAACATTTTGCTTTTTGATAGGCTTGTCGAACAAGATTTGGAAACAAGATCATGCATGTTTATTTCATGCTCCCTTCATCTGAAAATGAATTTCTCGTTTTCCTTTTTGGGTCATCAGAAGATGAATTTCTCATTTCCTTAGTTGGCTAAGTTTTAAGTGAGATATCATTTATCCCTCTTTGGATCTAATTCTTCTCTTTTTTTCTTCGCGTGATTCTTTCCCTCTCCAAATCCAACTCTTCTTCTTCGTTTTCCCCCTCTCTAATTCTTCTTCGCCGGTGTAGTGGCTAGCATCACAATAGGAGTAGAGGGTTAGATGACGATTTTAAAGTGGCTAGGGGCAGCAATTTTTGAATTCGTGATATATTCTGGATGAATAAATCTTGTCCTGAATATTTAATTATGTGTTTTTTTTTTGAACAATTTGGAGTTCTTTAGTGCTGGAAAAGTGGAGAGTTAAGTGCAACAATGTTAATATGTGAAAGCAGCTTCGACAAGCTTCCAACATGCTTTGCTTCTAGGCAAGCCGCAACGCTGAGCCCTGAGGTATATTCGGACACCGGTAGAAATCGACAATGGTATTTTTGGAAAGTCAATCTTTATTTTGAACAGGGATAATTCAGTTTTGAACGGAGGAAGCATAATATAATTTTTTTTAAGTTCGAAATAAAAATAACATTATATATTACATTCCGCATTCCTGCAACTTTGAAAAGTTTTTAGTAGTTTTTTTGGTAGTGTAATGCATCCTCTGTAGTGCAGCTATTGCCAATATTGGTCATACATATTAACATATATCCCCCCTTATATTATAAGGCCCAACAACGTTTCCCTCCGTGAAGTTGGTTCTTTTTCCGTCACTATTCCGTCAAATTGCCCATTTCTATATTTTCTTCTTCTCTTCGCCGACCAGGTACCCAGCTTTTAATTATTTTTCTTCTTCGTTTTTCTATTTTTTCCCAATTTGAAAAATAAAAATCTGATCGAATCGGTAAATCCTATCTTTAGGGTGAAATAGTTGCCTACCTCTTTGTTTGTGCGCCGACCAGGCACCGTGCTTCTCCCAGTCTTCGTTTTTACTCCGAGTAGATATCTTTTCCAATTTGTTTGAATGTGAATTGCATGCTATTTTTAAAAATGTCCAAGCCTGCGAAGCTAAAATGTAATTAGAGTATCCAAATTTGAGGGAGTTGGGTGTCAGATCAATGGCTCTTCAAAAAAAAAATCCCCTATTTTGATTAAAAAAATAAAAAAATAAAGGAAATTTTATTTCCGGACTCCACATTGGTTTATGATTCTCCAAGAAAGAAAATTTTATTTCTCATTAAAAAGTACTCTTTATTAATGAAGAAAAAACAAGATATGATGAAGAGATTAGAAAAATTTTAGAAAAAATTGAAAGTAGTTAAGAAGACACAAAAAATATTAAAGGTGATTAACTTTGTATAAATTCAATTGACATTTTTGCACTCTTTCAGTTTTAACCTGTAGTCACTGTTAATTGTCCCAAATTCCCTTTGAAGGCATTTTGTAACTAACTAAAGATATGTAAACTGGACACTATTAGTATCAAGTCCCCATTGTGGGTATTTTGTACTCCCTCCGTTCCATTTTATAACGTCTGTATCGGTTTACGATGTTTGGCTGAATTTATTTTCAAATCATTTTATATGACAAATGGTATAGAATTAAAAAAATAAAAATTACATATCAAAATACTACATCAAAAGATCTACAAAATTAGTAGTGATAACAATATTTTATTTTATCAATTTGCTAACGAAAATAGAGAAAGAAAGTGAATGAAGTTTGAACATATAAATAGTGAACAGACATTATAATTTAGGACGGAGGAAGTAATAAATACTCTACCGAAAATCATATCTTTACTCTAATTTAATATAACCAAACTTGGGCACCCACGCACATAGTGCGTTCAATGCTAGTACCATTCATATACTTGTAGATACCAAAGCTAATAAATGTACCAAAATAAGAGCTATGTTTTTTATCCCCAAAATATGAGTATAATGCCAATAATACCAATATATAGTATGGAGTACAAAAAAATACGGTGAGATGCAGTGGCGGATCCAGGATTGTGAATGACTAGGGGCAATATAGCAAAGCGGTGGTTCGGTGGCAGAGCCCCCGATTTTTTTAAATGTACTTTATATCATAATGAAAAAATTAATTTTATATAAAACAAAATTAAAATAAGAAAAACAAAATATTTTAAAATTAGTAAAATTATACTCCATCCATCCCAATTTATAGCGCCTGTTTCGGTTTACGATGTCTGACTGAAATTATTTTCAAATCATTTTATATGACAAATGGTATAAAGTTTAAAAATAAAAATTACATATCAAAATACTACATCAAAAGATCTACAAAATTAGTAGTGACAATAGCACTTTATTTTATCAAATTGCTAACAAAAATAGAGAAAAAAGTTGAATAAAGTTTGAACTTGTGAATAATGAACATGCACTATATATTGGGACGGAGGGAGTAATACTAAATGAATTATGTTGTACGAAATTATTTAATATCACTAGAGTTTACAAATACTTCATTTAATGGGTTAATTAGAGGTCACTGGGGGCATTCTTTATTTTTTGTTGGGGGCAGCCATACATAAAACAAAAAAAGTAAAAAAAAATTTTTTTTTGATTGGGGGCAATTGCCCCCATATGCTCCAAGGTAGATCCGCCAATGGTGAGATGCCCACTATATAGTGCCATAATGTGGTGGTAAAAACTTCTATTTTGAGGATCAAAACATTGAATAGTGCTCATATTTTTAGGATAAATGCTATGTTTTACTCTTATCTGGATTATTTCTTGCACATTTTTTCCTTGTTTCACTAATCATGACCGCCAGCGGTGCTGAAGGCCCACAATGCTGGTTACAAGTTTGTGTTCCATCTCCGATGTTATCTCCGGAGATGGATCGCAAGACTCACCGACACTCATTTACGTGGCCCATCTCGTGCTCCGTCACCCGCCCGGGGACTAGGAACCCAACATTGACCTTCTTTCCTCTTTGCATTTGTTTTGGTATCTCATTTTCATTCTTTCACTAGTTGCAATTTCTTCAAAGTCTCATGTTCCAATCTTGATTGACTTGTTCTTCGTCAACTTTTAGTTCATCATCTCACTCGAAAGTCAACCATCTTCATCTCAATGCCGGGTAATTATTGCGTATTTAATATGGCGTGTTTGGGGACTTGAACTTGGATTTCAAATCCAGATTTGATCCAAATTACTTGTTTGGGAACTCAAAGAATTTGGATTTGGATTTGAACCAAATTCTTCTAATTCAATACTAACTCAACTACAAATCTACACCTCTTCTCATGTCATTTACAAATTCAAACTCAACATTTTTTTAATTTAAAACTTGTAATTAAAGAGTGATTTCTTTTTATATACTAATAATTCCATACATATAAACCCGCTTTCGTAATCGTCTTTGCCGACTTCAAAATTCTAATTTTAGAATTGAAATTCTATGACTTCCTGAGCAGCATTGTGAATCTGAAATTATAGAATTTCAAATGTTTGAATTGAAATCTAAGATTTTAAATAATTTCTAGTTTCCAAACACTACCTAATGTCATTTTATGATAGTTTTAAAATATGATTGGAAGACCATAAATCAAATCAAAATCGATCAAATTAAAGTTGTAAACCAAATTAATATTCATTAATATTATTTGTATCGGTTAGAATATTTTTTTAGAAATTCGTATTTGATTCCTTTATTAAGCATAAGATATTAGATTCATTTAAAAATTGATTCATTTAAAAATATTTGACTTGTTTAAAAATATCCGGTTGTTTTAAACTTAAAATATTTTATGAATATATATTTCATTTCTTAAAAGATTTGATTAATATCAAACTAATTTTCCAATTTTTTGTGTGTGGATATAGTTTGGCATTAGGGATTCGAGCAAAAAAAAATTAAAACTCATAATTTATATAATGAAGATTAAAATATGAACATAAATTTAGTGAAGGAAAAGATAAATTTAGAGTTGAAATCGATAGATTGAAATCAAATATCTATTTTCTATTGATTCTAAATTTATTTTTTTCTTCACCATATATCTCTTCTTTAAACATGATATTCCCATATCAAAACTACCTAATTATTATTTTTTTTCTCACCAAACAAGCCATTATCATGTAAAATTTAGATTTATGTGTATATTTAATATTTAATATGTTATATTATGNATGTTAAACTTTATCCATACAACTAGTCTTTTGAAAAAATAATAATTTCTCCGTTCTAAATTAAATTGTCTATTTACTATTTACATCGCCAAACATCATTCACTTTCTCACCATGTTTGCATTAGTCATTTGATAAAATTATATAGTCATTTCACCACTAGTTTTGCAGATCTTTCGATGTAGTTTTTAATTACTCCGGGATATGTAATGTTTATTTTTTATTTTACCCTGTTTTTCATATAAGATGATTTAAAAATAAGTTCACTGAAATATCATAAACTGAAATAAGTGATTTAGATTGGGACGAAGGAGTATAAAATGAATCACATATTTAAGAAATACGTTAAATATTCATGAGATATTTTTATAATTTAAATGAATCACATAGTTTTAAACAAGTTGATTTTTTTAAACGAATAGATTATCTATTGTGTGATCAACAAATTGAATGCGAATCTATGAAATAATTTGAACTAAATCTATATTTGAATATCATCCAAACTAGCAAATGTGAATAATATTCATGAATAGTCAATGCAGTTCGTCTACAATTTGATGCTTGTTCCACTGATAACAAAGAGTTTAGTAAGTTTACATGCACGTGATACACAACTAAGCTACGTGCCCAATGTAACTAGTCCAATACATAAAATACAACCATATAGAAATTTGCTCTAATAATACTATTTAAGTATACTTTTTTTCTTTTTAGCCCAAAACCACAAAATACTTTCTCTGTCCCAAAATGATTGTCACATTGCTTTTTCAACAGTCACGGAAATTTTATTTATTTGTATATTTTCATTGGTTATTGTTAAAATAAAATAATTTTGACACCTTTTATTTCGAAGAACTTTTCATGTAGTTTTTAAATATGTAATTTTAATTTTTTATTTGTATACTAATATTTAAATAAAATGAGTTGAAAAAATTTGATATTTTGCCTTGTTTTTATAGATGTGGTAAACATTTAGGGACAGAGGAAGTATACTTTTTGATTGACTTGTTTAGCATAGTATCGAAACTTTGTTGACTTAGATGTTATGAGAAGAATCTCACCATCAATAAGTTTAAAAAGATAATCCCTCCGTCCCAGAGTACTTATTTATTTTTGATTTCTTTTGGTCAAAATTGATAAACTTTGACTTTAAATTAAATTAAAATGCCATTATATATTGATACAAAAATAATTTTGTTAGATTTATTATATAAAATATTTCTAAAATATTATTTTTTCTAATTAATATACAATATATATTTGGTATATTATAGGTCAAAGATTAAAAAAAATGATTGAAAAAATTCAAAGTGAACAAAAATACTCCGAGACGAAAGTAGTACTCCGTAATTTACATCACAAGTACAAACTTTCTTGTTTTTTGAAAAATAAAGAACATAGTGAGAGGGGGAGAATAATTGAATCAACCTTAATGAACAC